GTCGTGAACGTGTGTGTGTCCGTCTACACCCCAGCAGATGATGAGAGTTTTTTCTTAGTCCTTGCCTATTAAAATTGTACCTGGCCTTTATCCTCCGTCCTCTACCACACAGACCTTGGTGCACTCTCCTTCTTCCTCTTCCATCAACAATAACACTAAGCAGAACGCTGATCACTCTGCCAGGCATCGTGCTAAATGCTTTACGTAAATTATCCTCAGCCCCTACCACAACCAACCTATGACAGTGGCATTTGTTCCTATTTTTAGTAGACAGAAACTGAGCCCAGGGGGGTTAATAGATTTCCTCAAGGTCACAAAGTGATGGAACCAAAGTCAAATTCAGATCCATCGGGCTCCAAAGTTAATGCTGCCTCCTCGCTCACACTCTCATGATACCACCTGCTGTAAACACATTCATTTGGTTCTTCCCATTTGCTTCTCTTGGTTACTGAGACCTTGGGCATAACCTTTGTGGGGGAAGGGGCAGCAGTATGTCCTTCTCACCTCAACAAGATGTACATTTTTGGAGGGCCAAGCTGTATCTCATACTTTTTTTATTCCCTCACAATAGCTAATTTGGTGTCAGCAGCCAGTGGGCGCTCAGTGTGTGGGACCCACGGGCAGGAATCGCCCCGAGTGCATTTGTGCTAAGATCAGGCTTTTAAAAATGCTAGTTGAGAATATGGGAGTTCAGAACCTAACCCCTTGCAGTTTATTAGGTGGGGCTCCAGGGCTCAGGAGGATCACGGGGCCACACAGAGCACTACAGCGGGACCCTCCTCCCTCCCTGCAGTCCATGTGGGAGATGTGGGAACGCTGCGCTCACCACCTCACCGAGGCCATTCAGTACGTGGTGGAGTTCGCCAAGAGGCTCTTGGGCTTTATGGAGCTCTGCCAGAATGACCAGATTGTGCTCCTCAAAGCAGGTGCTCAGGGAAGGGTGGGCAGACCTGGGGGCAGGCGGACAGAGCACGCCACGGGGCAGAGACAAGTGGAGGGAGGTGGCTTAAGGAAACCAGGCGGACGGAGTCAGCCTCTGGCTTTGCTTGACACTGTCTCTGCGTCTTCTCTCCCCACTGCCCAGGAGCAATGGAAGTGGTGCTGGTTAGGATGTGCCGGGCCTACAATGCTGACAACCACACGGTCTTCTTCGAAGGCAAATACGGTGGCGTGGAGCTGTTCCGAGCCTTGGGTGAGGGGCAGGGGGAAAGGAGAGAGAAGATTCTGATGCCAACCCCAGGGAGAGCTTTGTGACCCAGGGCACCCTCTTTTCAGGGCAAATTGCCCCTTCTGCTCTAAACACCAGGAGGGTGGTGTCCTCGGGCACCATCGCTCCAGCGCTCCCTCACTCTTCTCATTTCCACTCCATCAGGCTGCAGCGAGCTCATCAGCTCCATCTTTGACTTCTCCCACTCCCTAAGTGCCTTGCGCCTTTCCGAGGACGAGATTGCCCTCTACACTGCCCTTGTTCTCATCAATGCCAGTGAGTGTCGCCGGGCTTGGGTAAAGGACATTCAGGTGGCAGAGGCATGGCAGATATTGAAGAAGAGTCTAGACCTTCAGATGTGGTTAAGTCTGGGAAATGGCTTTAAATAGCAGAATGCGCCCTACTCAATATTGCTATGAAATAAAATGAGTTAAAATAAAGATTCAGAGGAGCCTCAGAGAGGGACAAGAGCAGCATAAGATGGGGTTGTGGGAAGTGGGGAGAAATGAGGCTGAGAGGAAACGAGCCCTTCCCTGATAGAAATGTGTCTGATTGTTAGTCTGTGACAGTGATTTCATTGTAGCACACACTGGAATCGCCTGGGGAGCTTTAAAAACTATTGCTGCCTGGGTCCCACTTCCAGAGATTCCAGTATACATGTGCTCCAGGACTTATGATGGGGTTATGTACCAATAAACCTATCATAAGTTCAAAATATGGTAAGTTGAAAATGCATTTAATACGCCTAAAGTACTGAACATCATAGCGTAGCCTAGCCTACCTTAAACGTGCTCAGAACACTTACATTAGCCTACAGTCAGGCAAAATCATATAACACAAAGCCTGTTTTATAATAAAGTGTTGAATAGCTCATGTAATTTATCGAATAGGGTTCTAAAAGTGAAGAGCAGAATGGTTGCATGAGTATTCAAAGTATAGTTTCTACTGAATGCGAATGACTTTCTCACCAACATAAAATCAAAAGATAGTAAGTCAAATCATCATAAGACTAGGACCATCTGTAATTGATCAGGGGTGCACTGAATTTTAATAGCTACCCCCCGGCCACCAAGATTAAGAATCACTGCTCTGTGTGAACTAATTTTAAGGCTGTATGCCAATAATGGGAAGACTCTGGATGATATCCTATCCACTCCCCTGGCATGGAGTAGCTGGGCTGAGCCAGCTGAATGCTAAGTATTCAGAGAACCTAGAGAAGTGGGTCAAGCTGCTAACCTGAGTTTGCAAATCGAGACTATCAGTCTTTTGGCTCTGCCAGTGAGTAGACACCTAAACATGCCCCTCAAAATAGAGATGAAGACTTTAAAGACAACTTCTGGCTATTTTATAGAATCAGGGCAAAAGTTAGCTACAGATTGCTGCAAAGCCCCCAGTGCGGGCCTGGGCACCTTCAGGAAGGCCACCTCCTTTTGGGAGCCTTTTTGGTACATGGGGGAGCTCTTTTCCAACTCTTGCTCCCGCTGTGGCAGAATCCTAGTGCCTAACATTGAATGGGCTAAGTGGAATATCAGGTTACCAGAGAGAAGGTAGCTTGGAGTCAGGAGATGAGAAGTTCTCATGTCTTTCAGCCCTTCCCAGTTTTCCTTGCAGACGGTTAGCCAAGCCCAAGGTCCCAGAGCTTCCCGTTATCAAACCAAGGCACTCACATGCACGCGCTCAGCTGAGAAGACCTCTATCCAGCACAGATGTCCAAAAGATACGTCCTTTTGTTGGGAGTTAATGTCCATGTTCTTTCTTGTTCTCATTACGGTCCCACCCCCTCCTCCAGACCGGCCAGGGCTCCAAGAGAAAAGGAAAGTAGAACAGCTGCAGTACAATCTGGAGCTGGCCTTTCATCATCATCTCTGCAAGACTCATCGCCAAAGCATCCTGGCAAAGGTAGGAACAGTGCTTGGGTTAGAGGAGGCCAGGCCCATCGCCAGCTCTGTGACATCGGAGTTTGCGGGGGCCGGGGTCTGCGGGTACAGAGGAGGGAGTGTGTGAGTGCCACGTGGTATTAGAGAGCTCGCATCAGCAGTGAGAACTAAGGGAATGAACAGCTGCTTCCATGTGCATAAAGGCTGGAAAGTTAGAGAGCCTGGAATTGGGAGGGACCTCCAGGGAGCAATTCAGTTTAATATAGCCAGCACTTACCCAGCACCTGCTTTTACAAGGCACTGTGGAAAGATACAGAGATTCAGTCGCTGCCCCCACCAAGAGATTTTAATCTGGTGTGAAGAGATCTGTGTATCACTAACACTAACATAGAGTGGAATGTGGTATGTGACATAATAATAATGCAATAAACAGAGTGCTTTCGCTGACATGTTTTCTCATCCTCATGACAACCCAGTCAATAGGACAGGTATTAAACGCTCCCTGTAGCGGCCGGGCGCCGTGGCTCACGCCTGTCATCCCAACACTTTGGGAGGCCGAGGCAGGCGGATCACCTGAGGTCAGGAATTTGATAGCAGCCTGACCAACATTGTGAAACCCCATCTCTACTAAAAATATAAAAAATTAGCCAGGCATGGTGGCAGGTGCCTGTAGTCCCAGCTACTTGGCAGGTGGAGGCAGGAGAATTTCTTGAACCCAGGACACAGAGTTTGCAGTGAGCTGAGATTGTGCCATTGCACTCCAGCCTGGGCGACAAAACCTCCGTGTAGCTAGAAGGAGAATTCAGTGACTTAAATGCAAGACTGAATCCCAGTGCTCTTTCCGCTCATTCTATCCCTGGGTCCCCTATGTGTAACTATAATAAGAGACACTGGAAAAATGTTATCAGAGCATAAAACAGGGATTAAAAATAATTTGGGGGTAAAAGTAGTGGGTCATAAATACTTTCTAGGGACAGTGACATTTATACTAGGCCATGAATGATATAAGATTTTAACAGGCATTTATGGGCGTGGGGCAGGCATTCCAGGCTTGGGGAACAATAGGAGCAAAAATAAGGAGGCAAAATAGTGCATATGCACCCTAACTAAAGTGTAAAATTAGGAGCTGGGCCAGACTAATGGGGCAGAAGAGCACCAGAAAATCAGCCTGAAAATTAGGTCAGGGGCAAATCAGAGAGGACTTTTAACGCCATACAAGAGTTAAAGCTTTATTTCTAGGCCACAGGGAGCTCCAAAGGCTAGAAAAATGACACAGAGATGTTATTTAGGCAATTTACTTTGGAACCAGTGTAAAGGACACATTTATGTAATTAAAGGCTCTTGCTATGTGCCAGGCACAGGGCTGGGTGTTAAGGATACAGCAGTGACTTACACAGTCTGAGCTCTGAAGAACTCAAACTTTAATCTGCTACAGGATGGATTTGAAGGAGGAGAGACAGGAATCTGGGAGAGCAATTGGAAAGCAAATCTGGTTGGATCTACTTTCAAAATAAATCACTTCCCCTACAATTACCACCACCCCAGCCCCTACCAGCTCTCAGCTCTCACTTGGACTTTAAGAGGGGCCTCCTACCTGGGGCCCTGTTCCACCTTCGTCTGCCCTGTAGGAACCACACCGCACCTGCTCAGCACCCACAGTAGCCCTTTTAAAAATGCAATCTCATCATGCCCCACTCCTGTTCTTTTTTTTCTTTTTCTTAGGCAGTCTTGTTCTGTCACCCAGGCTAGTTCAGTGGTGTGATCTCAGCTCACCGCAACCTCCACTTCCCAGGTTCAAGCGATTCCTCTGCCTCAGCCTCCTGAGTAGCTGGGATTACAGGCACCCACCACCATGCCCGGCTAATTTTTGTATTTTTCGTAGAGACGGGGTTTCACCATATTGGCCAGGCTGGTCTCGAACTCCTGACCTCAGGTGATTCTCCTGCCTCAGACTCCCAAAGTGCTGGGATTACAGGTGTGAGCCACCATGCCTGGCCCCCACTCCTGTTCTCAGCCCTCCCGTAGCTGCCTGTCATGTTGAGAATCAAATCTAGAGTCTGTGTCATGCCCAAGTGGCTCATAACATGGTCCCTGCCTTCTTTTCTCACCTGATCTTCCACTGCCCCTTCAACCACCCGTTCCAGCCACACTTGCTGCCTTGCTATTCCTTGAACACATCAAGCCCAGTTGCAGGGCTTTCGTTCCTGCCATTGCAGTCACCTGGAAGGTTTTCCCCCCAGTTTTCCAAATGGTTTGCTCCATCTCTTCATTCAGGAGAGGTTTTTCCTAACTAGTAACCCCTGACGAAAAGCTTTAGTTTTCTTTTAAGAACTTATTATCTGACACGTGACATATTTATTTTCCGGGTCCCTCACCAGCATGTAAATTTAATCAAGGTAGAGATTATACTTTATTAACTGATGTATCTGATGTATCACCAGATTCAGGTGGGTTCTCAGGAGATATTTGTTGAATGAATGAAGGAAGGAAGCTATTACCATAGCCCCCAAAAAAGCTCCAAATAAAGCAGTGGAGAGGAAGACAACGGATCCAGGAGACATGAAGGGATCATGCCCTGCTGCCTGCTTTTCCCTGTCTCTTTCAAGAAAAGTAAGCTGAGTGAGGGAGGCGATGGCTGGCAAGAGACATTTTTTATTTATTTTTTTTTTGAGACGGAGTTTCGCTCTTGTTACCCAAGCTGGAGTTCAATGGCGCGATCTCGGCTCACCGCAACCTCTGCCTCCTGGGTTCAGGCAATTCTCCTGCCTCAGCCTCCTGAGTAGCTGGGACTACAGGCACGCGCCACCATGCCCAGCTAATTTTTGTATTTTTAGTAGAGAGAGGGCTTCATCATGTTGACCAGGATGGTCTTGATCTCTTGACCTCGTGATCCACCCGCCTCGGCCTCCCAAAGTGCTAGGATTATAGGCGTGAGCCACCGTGCCCGGCCAAGAGATGTTTTTCAGCCCCTTGGTTATAGAGGAGACTGCGAGAGATAAACTGTTGTTTCAGCCTTGCTCCGGTGAGGGCTCCCTGCCTCCATCTGCTCACGGGTTTCTGCACCTTTTTCAGCTCCCCTTTGGCTGAGTGCAGGCAGCAGCGGTATGCTACTTGCAGTGTTAGGTGCCGCTTAGAAAGTCTGTTTAGTTCAAACAAAGAGTTATTGAGCCTTTGCCATGTGCTAAGCATGATGACAGGTAGAGGAGACAGAGAAAGACCCCAGCTAGAGCTGAAATCTAGGGTGGGAAGGCAGACACATTGGACCATTTTCCTGCAATGTGGTAAGTGCTACACAGAGGAAAGCCCAAATGAAGGGCCCTCAATTCAGATGAGTGTAGTTAGGGAAATAGGAGAGGTGACACTAGAGGGTAAGAATTAGGAACGGGAGGAAGGGAACAACACGCACAAGGCGGAGGCATGTGACAGCATACAGACCATCACTCTTACAAAAGCCTGAAGTGCTTGTTAGAGTCTTTAACGAGGTTCATTCTGGAAGTTTCGGGAACATAATTTGAGGGTTTCACTTCACCCACCCACTCTCGCGTCTCTCCGGTGTCCAGAACACACACATACTTCTACCAGTGGGATTTGGCTGATGCCAAAGTGCCAAGTCCACAGAGGGAAGACAAGGAGGGTTTGTCCCAGCCCAGGAAGGACCAGAGGACTTCTCTTCTCTGAGGAGAGCGGAAGTATTGACTCTCCCTTCCCCATTAACCCATCTCCAGCTGCCGCCCAAGGGGAAGCTCCGGAGTCTGTGTAGCCAGCACGTGGAAAGGCTGCAGATCTTCCAGCACCTCCACCCCATCGTGGTCCAAGCCGCTTTCCCCCCACTCTACAAGGAGCTCTTCAGCACTGAAACCGAGTCACCTGTGGGGCTGTCCAAGTGACCTGAAGGAGGGACTCCTTGCCTCTCCCTATGGCCTGCTGGCCCACCTCCCTGGACCCCATTCCACCCTCGGCCTTTTCCTTTTCCATGAACCCTGGAGGGTGGTCCCCACCAGCTCTTTGGGAGTGAGCAGATGCTGCAGCTGGCTTTCTGTCTGCAGGCTGGGGCTGGCACAACACCATCTCCTGCCTCAGCTGTGACTGTCTTGTTTCCTGTATTCCTACACACCCAGCTTCTGGAAGGCGTGGGGTGGCTGGGATATAAGGACTTCTGGGGGACCAAGGCATCCTCAAGAAAGCAGGGGCATCCAGGGCTCCCTGGATTGATAGAACACAATTCATTCAGAAGCGCAGAAGCTAAGAATAGGCCTTTGAAATACCTCATTGCATTTCCCTCTGGGCTTCGGCTGGGGGAGATGGATCAAGCTCAGAGCCTGGCGGTGAGAGCCCAGGAGGACCTGTATAAAATGAATCTGGAGCTTTACGTCTTCTGCCTCTGCCTTCCTCCCAGCTCAGCAAGGACGTGTTTGGGCACTCTGCCCTTTTCCTGGGGTCTAACCAAAAACTGGATGGGATGAGGATGAGAGGCTGGGGATCATTGTTTTGTGGGATTTAGGTGTGGGATTAGGGTACAATGAAGGCCAACAGCATCTTAGATATAGAGTTGAAACTCAAACCTCTTACGTGCACTTAAACAATAGACTATAGGGGCTGGCACAAAGCAGATCTGAGATGCACACCCATACACAGGTGAAACACATACAGACTCAGCTGCAGTCATGCAGTTCCAGAGACATGTGAACCTGACACAATCTCTCATCCTTCAGGCCACAGCTTGGAGGAGGCTAGTGGCCTCAGGGAAAGTTCCAATCCTGAGGAACTCCCCCAGACATTTCCATGGTGCTCCTGTCCACTGATCTTGGGCCTGGGGTGATCCAAACACCACCCCAGCTCCAGCTGTCTTCTATCATTAGAAGCCCCAAGAGAAGCAGAGGTGGCTGGCACTGGTCAGTCAGAAGGCAAGGACAGACCCCGGAGGACTTTCCTGGCCTACCCACTGGCCCTGCCCTTGTTGCAGAGAAGGAAGCAGATGTAATCACAGCACCCCGTCATGGGACACCGCTGACTCCAGCATGGAGGACACCAGGGATCGGGGCCCGGGCCTGTTTCCCCAGCTGTGATCTTGCCCAGAACCTCTCTTGGCTTCATAAACAGCTGTGAACCCTCCCCTGGGGGATACACAGCAATGATGGGTGGTCATGGGGTTGGGGGGTGGGGGGTGGGATTGTTTCCTCTCAGGGGATGGGTTCATCTGAGTAAACATAAACCTCAACTTGTGCCATTCTTTGTAAAATGATTTTAAAGGCAAGAGGTGTGTGTGTTGGGGGTGTCGGGGGGAATCCTTAAATTAGATCACCTGCATACCTGCTCTCCAGTCTCATTCCTCCAGCCAGACCCAGGTTTCCAGCTCAGCAATCCCTCAGCATTATACAGATCCAATCCACCCTCACCGCACCTCTGCAGTTTCTCCCCAGGTGGAGCAGTTCCCCAGTGAGGAACCCCCACTGTAGGAGCCTCAAACTGAGCTCCACAGGAGATGCTGTAGACTGAGAACGCTCCACAGATGATCCCCACAGGGAACATTTAGATTTATAGATTGCACAGAATTGCTCCACATCTGGGAGGCCAAAAGACAATCCTCTGGAAGGTGGCTGGCCTAAGCTCCCCAGGGGGGATCAGGATGTCAGAGAGATCCTCTAGAGGCTGCCGCTCTTGCCATTGCCTGACCCCTCCCTGGCACCAGAGCCTGCCCCTTAGATCCCTCCCCTGCCACTCGCCAGCCCGTAGTGGTGCTTGCTGCAGCCCTCCCTGGTTGCTTTATTTATTTATTTTGCACCAACAGGGTTGCTGCAGACTCATTCTCGCCTGGTTTAAAAAGAGAGAGAGGAAAAAAAAAAAAAGGAGAAATGCTTTCTGGCTCTTTTCTCCACCTCAGTCTTGGCAGCAGCGGCCGCAGCAGCAGCAGCGGCAGGCAGCAGGCGGCTGGCGGGCAGCGGGCGTGAGGCACGCGGGGAAGGTGCAGGGGCCTGAGGTGCAGCTCTAATGGGACAGGGCCCCCAGCGCTGGACAGATGCAGTGCCCAACTTGATGCCACCCTCCAGCTTCTCCGGTAAGTGCCCCCACCCTCTGTCCCAAAGATGCAGCTGCCCTTTTCCATAACATTCTTGGAGACAGGCCAGACTAGTGTGCCCCTCAAGGCACGAGGATTTGGGCACCCACACTGCCAACAATTAATCCTGACCCCATGGGACTTTGAAGGGGAACTAAAATGTCCTAAGTGCCCCTGGGTGGAAGGACTCCAAGGAGGCCTCCCTTCCATCTCCCCAGTACTCCCCCTTTCTCTGGAAGGGTTTTTCTCCATAACCAGTGTGGATCTTCCAGAAATCTTTCCCCCAGGAACCCCTCTCCCCACAGTTCCCATCCATCAGTCAAGTGTGCTTTAAAGAGGATACAGGATGCCCAGGTCCAAGGTGTCTCTGGACTGCCACGTAAAGACAAGAAGAAAGCTCTCTATCCTTGAGAGGTGATGCCCCAGACCCCATCCCACTGAAGGAGAGAATAAAGTGATTCTGACATCTCTCTTTCTGCAAAGTGGCCGGAAGCCGGTCCTGCGGCCATGGAGGTTGGCAAGGGAAGTTTGTGATTAAATTAGCCACCGTAGAAATAAAATAGGTTGCTCCAGCTCCCTCAGCCCCTGGCCCAGCAGGCTTTGGGACTCAGGGGAACTCACCGGAGCAGGAAGGAAGAAAGCTGGGTTACATGCTTCACTGCACTTTTGCTGATGGCAGAGCAGAGGATGAGCAGGAACTGCAGCAGCAGTGACGAAGAGCTAGCTGTCAGGTGGACTTCCCAGAACAAGCCCAGGGAGAACAAGGGAGGCTGGGCCACCTCTCCTGGGAGAGCTCTGGGCATGCCACACAGACCTGTTAGGTCAGGCTGGGAGAGAGAGTCTGCCCTGCGGTCTTTGCCCCATGTAACTTTCTCATCCCCAAGCCTCAGACCAGTGTTCTGTATTCCTCTGCTCTTTGGGCCTCTTTCTTTAGTTTTCCTAGCTGTAGGATAGCCACTAGAATGATCCTTCCAGAGGGTGGAGAGTGGGAAGGAAAGGGGAAGAAATGACCGCCTCTTAAACTGCCTCTCCTAAGTTCCACATGGGAAAAAATAGGGCATGTAGTAGAAAGCCGACCCTGTAAAGCCCGGAGAGCCTGAAGCCCATAAGCCCAAAGGTGATCAGGATTGCCGCTCAGGAGAAACTCAGACGCACTGTCTCCCAGGGAGCATCCGTGGGCTTTTGCTCCTATCTCTGTAGCCCTCCCTTGCCAATTCCACTACTCCTCCCCTTCCTCGGGATCCCTGTTGACATTGAACAGGGTGAGTCAGAGGCCCTCACCACCTAGAGGGCCCCTTCTCCTCTGTCACCTCAGCCATTGTAGTCACCATCTTCCTGAGATTTCCCAGACCCTGGTACCCGGAAACCAGCTGTAAGTCGACAGGCTTTGCACATGGCCTGTGCCCAGATATCTGCTGCGCCAGCCAAGGGCTCCCTTCCTCCCCACCCTACAGCGCCCGGTCAGATGCTCTGTCTCCACACTTAACTATGCTCCTGGGTCCACAGTCTGTCTTGTGGGAATTTCTCAGGCAGCTCAGGCCAAAAGGGGCAAGGGCTCTCCCTCCGATCCACATACGGGACCAGAATCAAAACACCATTAAGGAAGGATATGAAGGAAGCCCAAGACTGAAGACCAAGCCACAGAACTCAAAATCCGGGCATCCTGTGAGTCCCTCACACATCCAACTTCATCTGCAGTGGAGAAGCAGTTGCCACTGGGCTCTTGCAGGGGATTCCCGGCTCCCCAGTCAAGCGCCCCCTGCATCCTACGCCACAGCTAATGTACAGCTTGGCCGTTGTCCACACAGGCATTTTGGGGAGATTGGATTTTGCTAGTCTAGGGCTCAGGCCTTGGGCCAGGCTGGAGGAGGGCTCAGCATGGGGGTGGAGCTGAGGCCTGCATGTTTCCCAGCCTTGGGTGAGCTAGTCAAGGTGAGGACCTCCCCAGTCAGGACAGGGAACTCTGGGCCAAGGACACAATCTCCCTGAGCCTTAAGCAAAAGCTATGGGTATGTAATATGGGAGAATAAGGGTGGGCAGAGAGGGACAGAGCAGAGCTTGATAAGAGCAGGTCTCAGGGAGAGGAAACCTGAGATACTCCTGGATCTGACAGACATCGGGAAACCCCATTACAGAAAGACTCAGTTACCTCCCTGCTGTTCCCTGCCCTATTCCTGTAAGTCCTTCCCCAAAGAAATCAGACTTGGCTAGGGTTCCAGGAGCCAGTAAGCACTTGGCTGGTTATCCAGGGCTGGAAGAGGAAGGAAAGTAGAGATTCCCCAAAGAGAAGCTCCAGGAAGCCCCTGGGAGGTGGCACACAAGAAGGCTTCCTGGTTCTGTGCCCTACTTGTTGGCCATGCTGAGACAGACAGACCAATTTCTCTCCCCTCTAAGAAGGGCCAGGAAATCCAGGGTCACCATCATCTGAAGCCACTTTCCAAAAAGAGCCATGTCATCATCTGTTCCAGGACTGAAGACGGAATGGGTACGGCCACAGCTCCAAAGCCAGCCTGGCCCCCATGGCCCCAGCTCCTTTTCCTCCTCCTCCTGCCCGGAGGGAGCCATGGCAGCTGCCCTGCTGTGTGCGACTGCACCTCCCAGCCCCAGGCTGTGCTCTGTGGCCACAGGCAACTGGAGGCTGTACCTGGAGGACTCCCACCGGACACTGTGCTCCTGGACCTGAGTGGGAACCGCCTGTGGGGGCTCCAGCGGGGAATGCTCTCCCGCCTGAGCCTGCTCCAGGAACTGGACCTCAGCTACAACCAGCTTTCCACCCTTGAGCCTGGGGCCTTCCATGGCCTGCAGAGCCTACTCACCCTGAGGCTGCAGGGCAATCGGCTCAGAATCATGGGGCCTGGTGTCTTCTCAGGCCTCTCTGCCCTTACCCTGCTGGACCTCCGCCTCAATCAAATTGTCCTCTTCCTAGATGGAGCTTTTGGGGAGCTAGGCAGCCTCCAGCAGCTGGAGGTTGGGGACAACCACCTGGTATTTGTGGCTCCGGGGGCCTTTGCAGGGCTGGCCAAGCTGAGCACCCTCACCCTGGAGCGCTGCAACCTCAGCACAGTGCCTGGCCTAGCCCTCGCCCGTCTCCCGGCACTAGTTGCCCTAAGACTTCGAGAACTGGACATTGGGAGGCTGCCAGCTGGGGCACTGAGGGGACTGGGGCAGCTCAAGGAGCTGGAGATCCACCACTGGCCGTCTCTGGAGGCTCTGGACCCTGGGAGCTTAGTTGGGCTCAATCTCAGCAGCCTGGCCATCACTCGCTGCAATCTGAGCTCGGTGCCTTTCCAAGCACTGCACCACCTGAGCTTCCTCAGGGTCCTGGATCTGTCTCAGAATCCCATCTCAGCCATCCCAGCCCGCAGGCTCAGTCCCCTCGTGCGGCTCCAGGAGCTACGCCTGTCAGGGGCGTGCCTCACCTCCATTGCCGCCCAGGCCTTCCACGGCTTGACCGCCTTCCACCTCCTGGATGTGGCAGATAACGCCCTTCAGACACTAGAGGAAACAGCCTTCCCTTCTCCAGACAAACTGGTCACCCTGAGGCTGTCTGGCAACCCCCTGACCTGTGACTGCCGCCTCCTCTGGCTGCTCCGGCTCCGCCGCCGCCTGGACTTTGGCACGTCCCCGCCTGCCTGTGCTGGCCCCCAGCATGTCCAAGGGAAGAGCCTGAGGGATTTTTCGGACATCCTGCCTCCGGGGCACTTCACCTGCAAACCAGCCCTGATCCGAAAGTCGGGGCCTCGATGGGTCATTGCAGAGGAGGGTGGGCATGCGGTTTTCTCCTGCTCTGGAGATGGAGACCCAGCTCCCACTGTCTCCTGGATGAGGCCTCACGGGGCTTGGCTGGGCAGGGCTGGGAGAATCAGGGTCCTGGAGGATGGGACACTGGAGATCCGCTCAGTGCAGCTGCGGGACAGGGGGCCCTATGTCTGTGTGGTCAGCAATGTCGCTGGGAATGACTCCCTGAGGACCTGGCTGGAAGTCATCCAGGTGGAACCAGCAAACGGCTCGCTCTCTGACCCCAACATCACCGTGCCAGGAATCCCAGGGCCTTTTTTTCTGGATAGCAGAGGTGTGGTCATGGTGCTAGCAGTTGGCTTCCTCCCCTTCCTTACCTCAGTGACCCTCTGCTTTGGCCTGATTGCACTTTGGAGCAAGGGCAAGGGCCGGGTCAAACATCATGTGACCTTTGACTTTGTGGCACCTCGGCCCTCTGGGGATAAAAACTCTGGGGGTAACCGGGTCACTGCCAAGCTCTTCTGACCCTTCCTTCCCCAGTGGGGAGCCCACCCAGTCTGCTTCAGATACCAAAGGGGATGACAGAACCAAGGCTGCTTGGACCACAACTGAATCCAGAGCAGCACCGCCCTCCCGCCCCTCCCGCCTGCCTTCTGCCAGTAACTAGCAATGCCTCCTGCTAGACAGTCTGCTTCCCGAGCCTTTCCGGCCTGAGGATGGCATTGCCGTTTCTTCACTGAGGGTCCCAGGGAGCTGCAGATGCAGACCCCGTCGTTACTCCAGCCCCCACTTCGTCCCCCCGCCACGCACAATACAGGAAACAGAACCAAAGCTCTAGTCTGCTCATCCAACCACTTGGCTTTCTTCACACACGCTTATATCCTTTAATAACCAGCACCAACCGCCGGCCACAGCTCTCAGATTATTTCAGAGGTGGGGCTGGGAAGTGCCACTTGCTCCTTGGAGTCTCCATTTGTCAACCAGGCAGAATCCCTTTCTTTTCTGCTCCCCACCGCAAACCTGCCCCTAGGTGCAGGAATAAGAGGCAAGGAGCCCGAGGCTACAGAAAGGAGGAGGTGTCCCTACAGAGGGACACAATGTGTGATGGGGAGGACAGGCCACACGCTGCACTGAGTCTGCATAAGCCTCCACCACCCACCTCTGTCTCCCAGATCATTAAATCTGCTGCCAAAGGCCCACAACAGTAGCTGCCAAAACTAATGTCATCTCTGGCGTTTTCTTGACTTCAGTCTGTTTCCTACCTTCATGTCTGGTGTATCTCCCCCTCCTTCTCTTCCTGCTTCCCATTGATCCTGTGTCCCAGTGGCCTTGCCTCCATCTAACCTGCCTGACAAACAGGGTAAGGAGTGCCCTCCCACCTCCATTCTCCTCACCCCCCAGCACCCCACCACCATGCCTGGAGGGATCAGCACTCCCAGCCCCGGTTTCAGCCTCAATCCTTTACCTTTCACTCCCCAACTCTGGAAGTGGAAAAGGAGCGGTCCTCCACCTTCCCGGGGATCCCCACATAGAAATTCCACCTGGGACACCCAGCTGCTGCCCCTCTTTGCCATTTCTCCATGGGAGCCCCCCATCATTTTTGTGTCACAGATCCCTAGTGCCTTTGGGGGAAAGTCAGAACTCCAAGTTAATGACTGACAAATGCAAGAATCCTGCAGTTGTCAAAGGAGAGAGACCCAGGACACTGCAGAGACAAGGCTTGGAGGAACAGGGAGGAGGGCACAGCAGGCTGTAGTGAGAAGCGGTGGGAAGCGGGAGCAGCAGTAACTGCCTGTCTAGTTAATTTCCACCATCCTTCTGCAGCTTCCTCCGGTTCTGTGCTTCCCGAGGTGGGAAGCTCTCTCCGGGTAGAGGTCAGTGACTTACAGAGACCCCCAGACGGGGAGGTGGAGTGGGAGGTGAAAGTGCTGAGTACCACTGGCTGGGCTTTAAATAGAGGGCAAAAAAGAGCTTAAAAAGAAGTAGAGATGCTGGCAGCTCAAGGGACAGAGCAACAGCCTCAGCATCGCTGGGAGGGAGGAGTCACAGGGAGAGGAGATGAGTGGGAGGAGGGACTGAAAAGGGAAGAATCACGTGGCCCCAGGGAACCTTTCTCCGCAGCAGCATCTGCCCAGCGTCCTTAGTTTCCTCCTACCCATCCCTACACCAAACCAGATGCAAGCATTGTGAGCTTTCTGGTTGATTCCTGCTGCTGTTGTCCTTGCTCTGAGGAGACTCCACTCATTAGATTCTCAGCCCAAACTGCCCGATAGGTGAGACACTCAGTGCCACTGAGGAGGTGAAGCTGGACTTCACAGGCAGGCCACTCTTTAGTGAGACAGAGATAGGAATATGTGGGTAGGACCAGAGGTGAATATGAGAACCGGGCAGACAGGAGAGTAAGGCTGGAGAAAGTGACCTGCTTGAGAAATGAGTTTCCCTGAGCCTGCAACCTCCCCACCCACCATGCACGCACAACCCAGTTAGCATCCCAGCAGCTTCGCCTTCTCCAGTTTATAATGTACCAGAGAGGTTTTTGGGGGCACAGCCCTCCCCCTCCTCACCATAACCTCCCACCAGCAGCTTATTAGGTTGGGACTTGGGACTCAGACGCTAAAGGTTCCCACTCTCGCTGCCCTCTCTGCAATGCGGAAGCAGCAATGCCGTTCAGAGAAATCTTCTCTGGGAAGCCCCTGCCGCAGTGAGGAACAGATGACTGTCTGGCGCTGGGACATGCTGCTGCCCAAAGTCTCTGGAGTCTCAAAGTCTCCAGAGCAGCGTTATCCAGCAGACATAGAATCCAAGTCACCTATGTAATTTCAAGTTTTCTAGTAGCTACTACATTAAAAAATCAAAATGAAACAGATACATTTAATTTCAATACTTATTTAACCCAATGTACCCAAACTATTATCATTTCAATATATTATCAATATAAAATCAATCACAAAATATTTAACACTTTTTCTTTTTTTTTTTTTTTTTTGAGACGGAGTTTCGCTCTTGTTACCCAGGCTGGAGTGCAATGGCGCGATCTCGGCTCACCGCAACCTCCGCCTCCTGGGTTCAGGCAATTCTCCTGCCTCAGCCTCCTGAGTCGCTGGGATTACAGGCACGCGCCACCATGCCCAGCTCATTTTTTGTAGTTTTAGTAGAGACGGGGTTTCACCGTGTTGACCAGGATGGTCTCGATCTCTTGACCTCGTGATCCACCCGCCTCGGCCTCCCAAAGTGCTGGGATTACAGGCGTGAGCCACCGCGCCCGGCCACTTTTTCATATTAGGTCTTTAAAATCCAAGGTATATTTTACAGTTACAGTACATCTCAACATCACAATTCAGTTGCTAAATTTTCACCAGAAAATCTGTATTTGGATTTCATACAGGTCACTATAGAGAAAGTGGATTCACACATCCAAGTTTTTTTCAGACATAAAACGTTTTCCAATAAGGGAATCAAAATCTGTTTTAAATTTTAAATTAAAATTATATAAATTTAAAATTCCATTCCTCAGCTGTACTACCTACAGGCATTCGATGGCCACGTGTGGCCAGGGGTACCATACTGGACAGCAAAGCTTCAGACATCACAGCCCGGGGCACAGACTAAGGTCTCATTGGCAGCGATGGGTGGAGAGTATCCCTCAAGAAACACATTTAATCTCAGGGAAATGCCTGTGGAGCTGCTCCCATCACAGCCCCTTTGTTTCCTATCGCAGCTTCTCCAGGATACTTTTGAAGGGTGAAGCCCATTAGTGTAACAAGCTTACTAAGACGAGCACTTCCACAGCTTGTCCAGGCCTCAGCAAGCCGGTTCCTCATCTCACCTATCAGAAAGGCTGCCCTCAGCTCAGCGGTGACGGTACAGGCTGCTGTGTGTGTGCAAATGAGTGTGTAAATGCAACAAAGGATATGAGTAGGGGGTGTGAGTACAGAAGTTTTGTGGACCATGTGCAGGGATGTATGGCACCACACGATGGGGACAATCCAACGGAGGCTCTGTCCAGGGTGGGGCAGACGTTCAAAGCAAAGAAAATAACATTGATTGAGGGTCTATTCTATGCCAGTGACTTTATATGTTTTCTTATTTAATCCTCACATCAGCCCTATAAAGTAGGGAGGCATCTTAGCTGATGAAACTAAAGGTCAAAGAGTAAGCGCTCAAGTGTGCCGAGTTAGTAAATAGCAATTAGCTATTTGAGCTCAGGGCTGACTGAAAACTCCCACTTTCCAGCACGCTGCCATCCTCACTGCCACGCCCTCATGGCTCTGTCTCCCAGGGCCTCTCAGTTGCAGGACACAACCTGTAAGAAGGGAAATCTTCCAACCTATCCACTCTAAACTTTCAGCAGGGACTGGGCTGTTATTGGTCCTCACCTTCTTTACTAACTCTAATGCACCTGATACACAAGATTGGGGTTTTTCTTTGTTTTTACTCTTCTCGGTCCCCTCTCCCAGTGTCCTTACAGCCTCTGCCTCAGGGACTGGTAGAAAGGAGCAGAAATTCCAGGGAGCAGATGGCCTGCAGTGAAATGCCTGGCTTCAGCAAAGGATTCTCTGAAACGGAGGCTTCAGATTTCCTAGTTCCTTTCTGGGTTCTGACCTCAACAACCTCCTAGGTTAGAGAGAGGTTGCACACATTGGCAGAACAATCTGTGAGCTATTTCAGATTGGAGAATTTGACTCTGCCTACCCTCTGCCCATCCCTGCTTGACAGAACCTTTCCAAGGGCACTCCCGCCTGCCCTCCTTCCACTCCTCTCTCTTCCATCTCAGACACGGTCTCACTTAAGCTGTGAGATAACTTTGGACCCAAAGAGACTGTGGCACCGTCTCCACGCTCCACATTTCCATCCCCGGTCGTCTTTCTCTATTTCTGACTTCTGTTTCCTGTGCTGTGCTGGGTCCCTGATTCAAGAGATGAGAGACCTGCTGAGCAATGATCTTCAACTTTTTTGAGTCACAGACCCCTCTGAGAATTCCTGATGCAAGCTATGAACAAAAATATTTGTAAATTATCCAGTCAGTCTGAAGCCATCACAGGCTCCATCGAATATTGGTTAAGAAATTCTGCTATAAGAAGCCACAGGTTGCAGGGTAGACTGAGGCCTTAGGCCACATTTGCTTTCCAGGGCCCATTAGAGGCAAAGAGATAAGGCTGAGAAGGATTACAGTTCCAAGTGGATGTCAGCACAGGTAAGAGCAGGTATTCGCATGGGCCCGGCAAGGACACACACAAAAATGCCTCCAGCATCCTCTCGCCTGTCCCCTTCTCCCACCAGCACCCATGTGAGGGAAAGGCAAGAGACTTTGGGTGGAACTCTTGCTGTCAAAAGTCAGTATGGTGGTGACTCAGGCTGGAGAGCATCTGAAACCAGGGACTCCTGGGTCCTGTTCCTCCAAACTGCTTTGTAAGGGGAATGAAGTAGGAAGACAGCTGGGCGGTGGTTATCAGAGGCTGAGGAGAATTCTCTCCTAGAGCACCTGCCACAATTCAATCTGGTCTGAAGACTGAAGAGTAGCACCACCATAAGTTAAGACACTAAGGCTCATGCTCCCAGTTGCTGGTTTCTGGTGAAGAGGCTTAAGCGGGGAGGAGGGGTGACTCCTACGATGGGCAATAAGAGAGATGAGTGCTATTCTCCAAAGACTCAGACAGCTGAACAGCGTTTGAATGGATCATTCATATGTCATGCAGGGAGGGAACTCTGTGGGCAGCCAAGGCTCTGGGAAGTCTCGTTGTACTTCAGAGCCCCTCACTGCCCGACCCCTAGCTAAGGTCTACTTTCCTGCTTCGGTTTGCTAAAGGGAACACTTGCTCACTGAACCCTCTGGGCAATCCAGACCTTAACTCACTCCGCCTAATGCCATCCACAGCCTGTTCAGAACACCCTTCAGGGAAAGAGAATAGACTCTTAGGACTGGAGATGAGAATGAAGAAATTATAATTCATCCAATCCCAGCATCCCACAATTCAATCTCTCCATCCTGATTTGGGATCTGAGAGGAGAAATGAGATGATAAATCCCAAATGTACAGTGACTTGAGGGTGAGGGGTGAGCTCACTTGAATTTATTCCTTCTGCTCCCCAACAAGTTAGAAGTCAATCTTATTTTTAGATAAGATAAAATCAATCTTATTTTAAAATAAGATTATGGTGGCTCACACCTGTAATCTCAGCACTTTGGGAGGGTGAGGCTGGTGGATCACCTGAGGTCAGGCGTTTGAGATCAGCCTGGGCAACATGGTGAGACCTTGTCTCTACTAAAAATACAAAAATTAGCTGGGTGTGGTGGTGTGTGCCTATAATCCCAGATATTCAGGAGGCTGAGGCAGGAGAACTGCTTGAACCTGGGAGGCAGAGGTTGCAGAGATCATGCCACTGCACTCCAGCCTGGATGGTAGAGTGAGACTCCATAAAAAAAAAAAAAAAAAAAAAAAAAAAAGAATTCCAGGAAAAGGATGCTACTTGGTTTTTCACTGCTGAGTGCATTGGCTCACTCCTGTAATCCCAGATGCCTTGAGCCCAGGAGCTGGAGACCAGCCTGGGCAACATGAAACCCCATCTCTACTAAAAAAACAAAAATTAGCCAGGCATGGTGGTGCATGTCTGTAGTATCAGCTACTTGGGAGGCTGAGGCAAGAGGATCGCTTGAACCTGGGAGGTCTAGGTTGTAGTGAGTAGAGATCATGCCATTGCCTCCAGCCTGGCAACAGAGTAAGACTCTGTCTTAAAAAAGAAATAAAAAATTCCTCTTGTGGTTTAACTATAAATTGTAACCCCCTTTTTGGACTTCATTTCCTTCTTTTTGCCCATCCCGCCTTCACTGAAGCTAGAAGATAGACCCATAAAGTAGGTCTGTGTTTTATGGCAACACTGGACACATTTTACCCTGAATTTGAACTACAATTTTGCCTTTTTAAAAGTAAAAAATAGCTATAGCAATCAAGGCACTCAAATACCTAGGAATAACTTTAACAAGAAATATGTAAATTCTGCATGATGAAAACTAAAATTCTACTGATGGGCTCCAATGACTTAAGTGTGTAGGCAGAGTCTATATCATATATTCTAGTTTAGATAATCCAAGAATATGTGATTCCAGTCAAAATAACAACAGAATAGAAACATAAATTATGGGCCAATATAGCCCCACAATATTATACTACACAGTAGTCAGAAGGAAGGGACTAAAACTATCCACAATATGGCCGAATCTCACAGAAATAATTTGAACAAAGGAAGCCAGACACAAAAGAGTACATACTCTGTGATTCTCTTTATATAAAAAGCAAGAACAGGCAAAATTTGTTTCTGGTATCAGGAGTAAGGAGAGTGGTTGTCCTTGAGAAGAGCAGTGCACGGGGACACACAGGTGGCTTCTAGGGCACTAGTAATATTCTGTTTCTTGATCTCCTGCTGGTTACACAAATGCATTCCATTTGTGAAAATTCATCAAGATACACACTTGTCATTTGTGCATTTTTCTGCATGTAGATTGTACATTAATTTTTTAAATTTTGGTAAAAAACCATAATATACATAACTTTTAAAAAATTTTAAATGAATAGATCAATGGAACGAAATGAAAAATCTAGAAATAGACCCAAATACATATGGCAATGTGGTATTATAAAGATAGCATTCAAAAACAAGAGAGAAAATGTGGGTTATTCAATAAGAAGGATTTGAATAGGCCGGGCGCGGTGGCTCAAGCCTGTAATCCCAGCACTTTGGGAGGCCGAGGTGGGTGGATCACGAGGTCAAGAGATCGAGACCATCCTGGTCAACATGGTGAAACCCCGTCTCTACTAAAAATACAAAAAATTAGCTGGGCATGGTGGCGCGTGCCTGTAATCCCAGCTACTCAGGA